TGCAGGCAGCAGTTAATAGTAATAGGAATCTACATAATATATAATGACAAATTCAACATGTTAGCATTTTTTAATTATATAGCCTATACATCCTTAAACGTAAGACCATAATAAATCATAGAATTACGATCATATAAATGAATCAATAGTTTAAACAACAGACTTGTCTGTCTGAAATACATTTTTTAATCTGATCACTGTAAAAGTTGTATTATGTATGAACTGCCTTAGTCTCGTGCAAAGAGAATGATGAAAAGATTACTGGAACAGTTTTCTGTGATAATTTTCAAGTCCCAGTTGCACGATTCCCAGGAGAATCGTTAGTAGTCCATAGAACAAGAACCGATCTCCCGTAACCGTGTCTCTGTTCCAGGTACTCTCGATAGACGGTGTACCAGTGACACACATGACTCGACTAGATTGCGTGCGGCGTTTGAAGGAGTCGCAGCTGGTCATCAAACTAATGGTCAGGTGTAGGGGAGCGCTGAGACCCGAAGTGGTCAGTGCGGAGAAAAAGAATTCCCCCGAGAAATGCAAAGTACCGCCGGAATTGCCGTCGGTACCGCCGCCCGTTCCGCCCCGAAAGTTGCGACAGGCTAGAGGTTTGGCCGACGGAGAGGCAAACCCGAGTCCCGTAAAAAAATCTTGGAACAAATCTCAGAACAGCTCGCAGAGCAGTTCTCAGAATGGTTCTCCGAATTCGCAATCCGTTGGTCAATTGGAAAATAGCAAATCGACGTCATACGAAAGTTGCGACTCTTCTCCGAGAAGCGTAAACGGTTTCGTTGCACAAGAGAGTCCCAAAGGATCGCCGAAGGAACGTTCACCGGAATTATCAAAATCGAAGCAGGTAATTACGAATTGAAATCATTTTTATATCAATGACAAATATGATTTCTATGAACATCAATGAATTCGTAGGACCCTCCGGAAGCGATGGTGTACGTGGACGCTCGGTCTCAGTGTGGATCGACGCACGGAAGCACGTCGGACGACACGGGAAGCTCGATGTCAACGGTGATCGACCGTTTCTCAACCTCGGACCGAGTGTCGACCGTCTCGACCGTGTCGACAGCTTCTACGACCTCCGAGCAGCCTGGAATCGAGCAGGACTTCGATTCTCAGCCGGCCAAGACGATCTGCCCCTTAGAGAACTTGGACGATTGCTCCACGAATCCTCCCGATTATCTCTTACGTCGTTTGGCCAATTCCGCGGCGGTGACCCACGTGGAGTCGAAAGGGGAAATAGAGAAGATCACCGCAGTGGTGGCACCCAACACGGTCCTGATCGAGGAGACGATCACCTTTCAGCCTCCGCTGAGTTTCCAAGACGCGCCGTTGAGCTACGGTCACGAGCCGCGTCCGGATCTTTTTTACACCGATCTAGCCGCCGACTCGACGACGCATTTCAGGCCAATTAAAGACGACGTGGAGCTCGTCGAGCGCGTGAACAGCGAGGAATTCCAAGAGAAGCGAAAGGACAGAACGCCTCCGCCTCTGCCCGCGAGGAATCACGTTAACAGGATCAACGTCAATCAAGAGCCGCGTTCTCAGAACGAGGAGACCAAGGAACAGGACGCACCTGTGCTACCGCCTAAGCCGATGCCCAGGAGGGACGTCAAGGCCAGGAGGAAGAGACCACCGCCTCCACCGCCGCCTCCTCGAACCGAAACGAAACCTTCCTCGCTGCCCGAGTCTAGGCAAACGAGTTTCGAGGACGATGAACCATGCTCAAAAGACGAGAGTGCTCAATTTGAGGAGAATAGGTCAAGGGCTGCGGACAGAAAGGAGTCAGAAGTCGACTCGACACCGTCCAATAGCAATGTAGACGAAAACTTGGATTTGGAGAAGAAGAGAATCGTGGAAACGGATGATACCGAGTCAATGGAGAATTACGATCTAAAAGAAGATGAAGGACTTCGGACTAATAAGATAATCGAGATCATCGAGATCAGAAAAGCTAAAGCTGTTTCTCGCAGGAACGAAGATGAACTTAAAAACAAATCTAATCATTATAATAATGATAGTGAAACGAAGGAGAGGCCCAAACCAGAGATCAGAACTTCTGTTACCATATCGAAGATCGAAGATTCTGACGAGGAACATGAACAAGTTACGAAGTTCAATGAACCCATAGAAGAGCAGGACGACAAAGATTTTATAAGTGAGAATTTAGAAGCGAATGAAAGAGAGATTTACGGACGACGAGAGAGCAACGAGAGCGACGACTCTTATAGATCGTGTAACGATATCAGTTTGAGAAGTATTAGTCGCAATTCCAGTAATGAAGAAACCATCGATGAGGACGATACGACCGATGAAAGTGACGAAGGAGATTATTACTGGCAGAGTAACCTGGCCACTATTGGCGAAGAAGAGGAGACGAATTCTCTCGAATACACAAACACGTAAGTTTCATACAGAATTCGTTTTACTAGAATTAGAAATTAGATTTCTAAAAGATAATTCATCGGTCAGAGCGAGGAATAAATAAACTCAATAAAAATATTGAGACCTATCGTACTATAAGCTAAATTAAAATAATTTCAATACGTTAAATATTAAAAATATTAATTATCGAGCAAAATGCATACATGTTGAACTATGCGGCTGTAGCATTGGCAAAGGTGAACGAACGAAATTCGCCGAGTTAGACAATATGTTTTGACAGCGATAAACGTGTCGTTCAACTTCCTGTGGAACCAGTTCTGAAGGAGTAAAAAAAGAACCACCGATCGTTCTCGAGATATCTCTTTCTCTCTCCGCCCGATTCTTGTTTACGTTATCCGTAGTTATCAAAGTGTATCATCTAGTCGATTCTGCCGGAATAAACTGCCGGCAGATACGTTATCAAACGCGAATGTTTATGTAGACACACGGTAGCCGGGTAACAATAAGTAGGCACGAGTTTACAGTACATTAATTCGCTACGTTCTCTAATTGTAAGCAAATTACGCTCGTGCCGAGCGTTTCTCCGGCTCACCTCGATTAAGATTTACCCGCAGCATTTGCACTTGCAAAATGCTACTTATTTATAGAACACACGTGCCACGCCTAGTTCAACTTAATATAGAGATACAGATATTCACAAGTCCGACCACTTATTCCCATTTAATTGACAATTTATATCACAAATTACGGCCGAGTGACATTTCCTCGGAGCCGGTATTTAAAAAACGTGAAACCTCTTACGAGCATTGATCGCCTTGCTGGCGGTCAATAAAAAACTGTAAAAGTCGGACGAGTTCCAAAACCGGCGCAATTCCATCGTAATTGCATCTGGATGGAATGCGAGTATACAAAAATCTGACGGGGTCGTTTTCGTTTCGCAGAAACAAAGTTGCGAGCGACAGCGATTCGAATTCCACAGGAAAGGCCGAGGAATCGTGCAAGAACGACACGTACGATGCAAACGGTGAGTACTTACGAGAACATCTTAATTATCTGTCCAGACGTCGCCGCGACGAATTTAGTAAAACGCTTCGAGGCCAATAGGAAACGATCGAGCTTGATAGGGGGGCTCAATTAAAATGTTTAATTGGGACAACTGCGCAAAAATGTTAGCGCCGTTTACTTCAATCAACTAGTCGTGGAAAGACCCTCTAACGTTTCCATTGTTCCTGTTATTTCTTATACCCAACGTAACCATTCTTGACACGTTCGATATAATTAATGCGTGACATCATTTAAAGATATGACAGAGACGTTCATCGACAAACATGAAATTCTTGAATACCAATTGAAAATCGCATCAGAGTCATCACTTCGATCTTTGATCCTCATCTTTGACGACTCAGTATGAAACCCTTTGATACAAAGTGAAATAGACGAGACTCACAATTTCCTAGTTAAGCGCGCGCTTTCCAAGGGGGTGGCAGATTTCATTGAACCCGAGATGAAAGCGTTGGAATTCCGCGGATAGAACACGGCGCACGCCCACGCACGCATCCCTCCGGCTGGCTTCATAAAGGTTACGCATTAATCTCGGTGCGTTACGCGCCGCTAAGGTTCTCCGGTTTCGCGCGCGTGTGCACGCGAGAACGAGCATTCGAAACGGAGGCAGCCAATGTTCCGCGGAGCGAGAGACAAAGGCGTGTTCGTTCGCCTGGGCGCACCTTCGACGCCGTGGAATTCCAACGACGACGGAGCGGAGTCGAGCGGATCCGCGCCGCGGCTACCGACTTCATTGTCCGCCAAAGATGGATCGCGACTTCTACGTGGGAAATCGAAGGCGAGAGATCGATGTCGCGACCCCCAACAGATAAAAATATCACTGGTTCAACGAACCACCTTTCGATCCTTCCCGTATGAACTGTAACCCTTTCTACGAAGAATTAAGTGGTCGATACATATTTCGTAGAATGTGCAAATTTAGTTCTGCAGTACCAAGAATTGCAAACGTTCTATTTTTCATGAAACTGCTTTTCTTTCTCTACGATAACTCCGATGTGCCAATGGGTTTGGATACCTGACCTTAATTATGCAGGGGTAGTTGTACCGGATGTCGATTACCGTGGGCGTGCAGTCAATTATTTACAGTCAGTGCATTATTACCCATGATCCACTGAACCAAACCTCACCTACGTACAATCGAGGGTTTTCACACCTCTCGTATTTTAAACCGGCGTTAACGTGCCGCGAACGCAAACGCTGGCTAGCAGCATCTAAATATGGATTCTGACGGTTCATTTATAATTGAAGCTCCGCGGGGAAAAGCGAGGCCATTAATTTTTGCATACTTTCCCGACTGGCTCCAGGCGGATCTCATTTTTCGTTTCGAAATTCTCGGGGAAACGAGTAAAGTCCGTACGATACCACTCCTCGAAAGCGGTCGGTGGGTGTGAGAACGGAACCGTTAAGAATAATTCAAGAAGTACAGAGAGGCGCGCCAGGTAGCTATTTCGTTTGCAAAGAACGGGCTAACCGGTAGGTGCTTTTAGGATCCGGTTAAACGCGCACTTTACGACTCCTCAACTTTTACTGAACGGAACACGAAAATCATTCGCATTCCTCGCTCCGTTTCGAATTCGCCTCCGACCTTGCCGCTCCTTAAATAGAACCTCTTCCAACGTGCAAAAACATATTTTAATGCAATGCTCAATGAACAGAAGATACCTCGAACCGCGAGCAAAGGACGATAAACAGATTTCTATGGCATCGTATAAATTGCCCAAATAAATTTATAAACACCCCGTTTAGCAATGCATTTTGAAATGCATCTCGAGATTTCTGAATAGAAACTTGATTTCCGGGACTCCTTTCTCCTTTCTTCATCGCGCGTGCTATCGTGCAACGGTTAAATTTATGTTCGAAAATCGAATACCGTCGATCGGAGGGTCGTAAAAGTCTGGTTAAATCGGTATTCGGGAAACGAGTATCCGCGATGGTTTTACGCGAGCCTAACGACCGAGGCTATTGATTAATACGCGCGTTTATCTTATGATTACGCTCGCCACGGATAAACAACGACTTAAAACGGTTTTTAAACCCGACCGGTTTCCCTCGGCTATCATCGGCTGAGTTACCGGCGAACCGCGCAATAAATAAAACCCCGGACGATCTAATTTCTAAGTTCTACGGAATCCGCGATGGTTGAGCATCGATCACGTTTGACCGTGAGTTTAATAATCGCAGACGAGCTTACGAGTTCGCTCCCTCCGGAGCCGATTTATAGTTTCTCTGAATGATTGATCCGGCTAATCACCGTTCGTGACCGGTTCCTGGGAATCGAACAGGAACGAACGATTCCCGGCAAAGTTTAATGCGTCGATGCGCCAATCTCTTTGCTCCCATGACGTTTCCCGAGTTCATTATGCGGGCATGAATATTAAATGCCCCAGGAGAAAGTACCGTCGATCGTTATTACTGACTTTCAATACAAATTCCGATACTGAACTACGAGCTTTACACGTTCGTAGAAAAATAGACGTCGTTAAACGATCGTTTAAATTGAAATTACGAGCGTTCCGTTCTATATGAAAATTTATCGTAATCATTGAATCGCGTGAGCGAAGGCGTTAGAGCAGATTGGACGCGGAATGGAACGGATAATCGAGTGACGCGATCCAAGGCTAGACCAGTATCTTTGGGTCAGTATACTCGAGCTACCGGGACGGAATCCCGTCTCCTTCGATCGGGATTCATCGGTAGTACGTGATGCGTCGGGCAAACAGATCGCGGTCGAATCGATTGGGAGCGAAGCAAAGTGAAAGATCTCGAAAAGGAAGGCGATTAATCGGGGAACGGGTGGACCTTGAGCGCGGTCAGCCACTGGGAGAACCCGGGGTATGCGATACCCGGCCATATTGTTGTGACTACTATACCATCGGACCCTGACCAGCCACCCACGCTCCGCTGTGACCATACGCTTCCCTCCACGGTTCTGGACCACGTTCGATCGTCAGATATCTTAATCGTATCTTCTCAACGTGATTAAGATTATATGATTCGGCGCGAGCTTTCGATTTGTCGGGATTTTTTATACGAACCGTCGTGCAATTTACAAAGGGGAATGCATGACATCGGGCAGAGAATGGATATGAAAGGATCGCCTACGTGCGGCCAATACGTCCGATCTAAGGGACGACATTCCAGCGACCCGGAAGGTGCCCGGGCAACGATTCGATTAGCTTCGATAAGTCATACTTGAATTCATGCGTCCCGGGGAATTCGAAGTAACAAGGATAATAACCGTTGCACCGAGCAAATCTGATGCGGTAATCCGGTCGAACATGAACAATCAGTTAAGGCGGCGATCGACGCTCGATGAAAGGATTCCTGCCCCCTTCAACCGGGTATAATGGTCCGGCTGTGCAAAGCGCGTCGCGTTTAGCGCCTCGGACAATTAGTATGGAGGGCCGTGGAAAATTCGCGGCCAAACGAATGCGTAATCGAGACACCTCCTGGCAACAGATGTTCACGGGCTACCTGGCTACTCGCCGTCTGCCACGCGCGAATGTCGCCGCGACGCACGTGTTACGCTTGCAGGGATTCGCACGAAACCCGAAGCGTAGCGAATCTCGAGGTATTTCGTCGGGACCGGGTGATCGCGTAAATTTTCGGGTTTTTCTGCTCTTGCTTCGAAACGAGGAAGAGAACGTCCCTTTACAGTTACGCGCTGACTTATCGCGGTAGTGACTCGACTCGAGGCGCTAAAACATCGTTGAGGAAACGAGCGCAGTCCAGAACGCGAGTACCCGTGTAGCCGTACGTAAGTACGTACACGGTCCGGGCAGTGAGATTTTTCTCTGCTCGGAATGCCCTCGACGAGCGGCGACATTGCTCGGATGCCTGTTAGACACCGGAAAAAGATCGGTCCTTGCCCGCGAGGACGACAAGTTATCGTCGATAACCTTCTCGGTCGGGTGAAAAAAAAACTAGCCTTTCCACGGTGATAGAGCCGCGAGATCTCCCGATCCGACCTCGGGCGAGCGAACAACGATATTTATTTCGCGCCTACGACTCTGTTTATCTCCCGATCCCGTTCGACTCTAATTGGAAGAGGATCGGCCACTCGCGGGGATTTCGTGCGCGGGACCCGGTGCACTCTCGCATTCCACGATACCAGATCCGGCTTCTCTCTCTTTCTCTCTCCCTTCTACGTTTATAGAGCCGCTCGCGCCAAGTTTGAACCCGCGAGACCCTTCCTTCGTTCCCCTCGTTCGCGAAACGGAAGAAGCTCGACCGGTTTCTTTTTTGTCGCTCGCGCATCTTAGAAGACCACCAAAGGATCCGCGAAGGAGTCGCGCGGCTCGGTTCCTATGCCGCCTCCGAGACTTTCGTTTTCAGCGTTTTCTTCGACGCGATCTTGTTTCGCTTATACGACCGGGAGAGCGGACGAACAGACTCCTGTTTCCGGAGTATACGTCCTTAGATTTAACCACGGATTCCCACGCGCAACTTTGCCCAGTCAACATTCTTCTGACGACTAATCAACCGCGCGTGACTATCCTTTGAGCCCGCCGACGACGTATTTTTCTCCTCGGCCAACTTTGACTTTGAACGATACGCGAATGCCGTTTTACATATTTTCCATGCCTACGTGTTTTTCATCGCGAGCCTCGGTTGACGAAACCGCTATAATGTCACCGCCTGATAAAACACGGCTCTAACGCAAGTAAACGTTGCCTCAAAGATTTATTAACTGCGTCTAATTCAAAGGAATTAATAATGATGTGACAAAAGAAGATCGTGATTCGATGCTCGATGATGCAATGCCTGTTGGAATTTTGCAACGGGAATTTCCGAAAACGTGATTTTTACACCGACCCCGTTACGAGATTCTGGTTACAATTTAAACGGTGCGCGTACACGCTTGCGTGACAATGAGTCGGCCTTTACAAGTATGTATGCATCTGCCATTTACGTCACGTTCGTCATTGTCAGGGATATATCGGAGCGGGCGGCCCGTCGCGCATGCAAACGCATTGCGAGCTAGCGGTAACTCGTTTCGTGCCGCGTGTTACCGAATAACGTGAAAACTCAATCGGCCGGGCTTCTGTTGTAAATTTCGCGAACACGGATAAGCACTTTGCGTCTGCCTGGCAAACACTGTACCGTACGATTCGTTCAAACATTAGGTACCATGAGAAACGAGGAGCCGAGAGTAGATATCAGACGTGTTACGCAATTGTAGAAACTAGGCCCGAGTACTCGGATAAATCGCCGAAGAACGCAAGGTCAAAGCGATTCGAGAATCGAGGAAAGCTAATTCATGTTTTATAAGAATCGAGAGCGTTTACTCTCGGAACGAATCGAATTCTTTAAGTGCAGGTTCAAGGAATCTGCGGACGAGGAAAACGACGTGACGCAAGAATTCGAGAGATAATCGTCCTCGGGGACGATGGAACGAGATCTTGCACAAGGTCGCTCTTTAATTACACGCCGAGACGTTTTGATGAAAGTTACGCATGCGATTCGTTCTACTCGCAAGCGGAATTCTCGGACATTAAAAGCTCGCTGAACTACATCGAAGAACAGTGTATCACACTATTCGTATTGACGTTCAAATTTCCTCACGCACGTCGTCAGTCGCTGAAAATAAGCTTATGCTGATCGCGAGTGCAACTATGTATGACTTTTCGAAACGCAAGACGATTCTATTCAATCCTGGCATGAAACATTTATGAACCTCGGATCGAGGAACGCGAAATTATGACTCCGGTACGCATGCAACGTCGAGTACATATTATGCGTTGGTACTTACAGTGCAGGTCCTCGAAATTCCTCGTTCCCGTGGTCAGTAGTCGCATCCGATGAATAATGCATCGCCGATGGCCTTTGGTAGCTCCTAATAGAAAAACCCGGGACTGATCCTTCCGTTTTGTCACCGATCCCAGTCAATGGTTCCTCTCTGCTCCTTCCTCTCGTCAGTCACTCTGCACTTAACACAGAAACGTTCTCAGAAAAACGTAAACGAAAATTGTTGCTCCACACTGGACATACTGGTCAAGACTAAACCGGAAATTGCCGTGGCGCCACATGCATTTTTTGAGCAACTATGTTCACGATCGTCGAGAGTAACCCTATTTGTACATATGTATATTTGACAGATAACTTGAGCCTCTCTTTTGTATCGAAATGACAGAACCATAGAAAAACGAGCATTCCCTTTGAGACCGAGATACCGTATGCGATAAAAGATACCAAGTAATATGCATGCTTACGGTGGAGTGCAAAGGCCTGCCGACAGCTTCCCGGAAATATGTTTTGGCGCGCAGAGGCCGCGTCTCTCCGGTCCCTCGGATTTGGTGAGGTTAACTGGCGAAATCGCGACACGACTGAGATGAATCGTTCGATAAGAGTAGCCGCGTAGGATCGCGAAAAAGAAGGCACGGGTCAGGAACGAGACGCAAGGTCGGCATGGAACGTGTAACTCCGGTTACGGTTTCCACCGTGCAATCCTGCGTGAGGCACCCTGCGGCCATCAAAAACGATTATCCGCGATCTCGATCACGATCTCGCGAAACGAAAACGAACATGATACTTTTTTATCTGACACTTACCTTCATTAAACTAATCTCGTAAACTGACCGATGCACGTAGCGAACCACCGGTGTCACTTCCATCACCGACGAAGCGAACTCGCTCTATCGACGATAATTGTTACAATCGATACGTCGATATATATCAATATCGCAGTGGCTCGCGTTTGGACAGCGCGAAACGAAAATAAGTAAATAGAACAAGAATCGTTTTTTAACAATCAGACATTTATTTCAAAATGTTTACCGATAGCAAATTGCATGCATGAGCGTAGAAGATTTTTAGGAGGGAGCAAAGTGTCGAGTCCGAAAATCGTAGATGTTTTCGAGATCGAGGGAGTGATTTATATGCACGCGCACGTTTACGATCCTATCGAGTTAACTCAAAGGTAACCTATCAAGAGTAAAGGTACCTCGGTCTCTCCTTGAGACCAGTAAGGAAGCCCCGTCGTTGGTGGAAAGGGATGCCCAGCGATGTCCCAGCCGGAGCCAGAAAGGCGTTCGCCAGTCTCTTCTCGACGCTCCGAGTCAAAACGTGCCGAGGGCCCTCGTCCGCTGAAACGTTCTCTCCACTTGTCAATAGCGCCTTCTCCAATTAAATCCGTTCCGACCCTCCTCTCATCTCGAAATCGTATGATTCTTCGTCCGAACGTTAACGTGAAATCTCGTTCGATTGCAAACGATCCGAAGTCGATGAGTGAAAAGTCGACGATACTCGTGAGCCGCGGTAATCGTCAATAAAAACCGTGGTTTCTAAAGTGTTTGAGAGTCAGTGCCCGAAAACCGTGAAGAGATATTAAAAGCTGGTACCCGAGGGATCGCGTTACCGTTCGGCGAACCGCAGCTACCGAACGCAACCGGGCTCGATCCGTGACTGAAAAAGGTATTTAAATATTTACTCGCGCGTTCCTATCCCGAATTGGACGTGAAAAATATTCCATGCGAAACGTACTCGCAGTTCTGTGCTAACAGCGGGAACGCCAGAAAGGATGTAGAGAATAACACCGGCGCCTAATTCGTATTTACGTGCGTGTACATATTGGAACAGTATCAGATCGTACGGTAGAACGAGTTCCGCAGCGATAATAGGACAGTTAGTAATGCGATCCAGAGATCTGTCCTCGAAACTCGTGACTGGTGTCACATGAACAGCGAATTAGAATATGAAAAGCATATTTCTCGAGCTCCCCGTTTCGCACGATCCGGTGAATCATAAGCTGACTATCGGCGAATAATTCGAGTCTGACTCACGTCTGGCTTTCGCTAAATAAAACGCCGTAAAATCGAGCAGCTGAATAAAGAGCAATTAGCAGACTCGGAATTACGATACAATCGACGCGAGAACGCGTTCAGTAGCAGGATGCGAAGCATCACAGAAGCGCGCGGGTAAAAAAAGATTCTCCCCCGGACCGAGCCGCTTTCTCATCCGACCAAAAAGTTTCGGAAACGAAAAAAGCTAAGCTGTTACAAAACGCTTGAAACTGTTTTTAGAACGATGATCAGTTCTAACTCAATAATTAATCGTGTGAAACTTTTATATCAAAGGGATCTGCCAGAGAGAAACTCCAGTAAATTAAATCTCCTGAACTTCAAACTGCTTTTAAATCAATTTCACTGGCTGAGTAAAACTTAGTTTAGTTTATTGAATTGAAGCCGCCAGAGTAAATTCAATCTCCTGACTGAGTTTGCAATCGTACTCAATTTCCACATTTAAACAAATTTCAATGTTCGTATAAGAGTTACTGTACTTTCATTAACTTGTAAATTGTAAATAAATTCGTGGAGATTTGCGAGAGAGACTTGGCCGTAAAAATTGAATTTGTCCCCCCGGTCTGACCTCGAAGCTGCACTTTCACTCGCCACCCACAGAAAAGCGCGAGCAACAGCTGCCGTTCGCTCGCTCCATCCGGCACCAGCGCAGAGGATATTTTTCGAATCTCTCAAGGGTAGGCCTCGCCAAGGGCTTCTGTCGCTGGCAGCTGACACCGCCGATGGCCTACACCTGCCTCTGACTACACATTTACCACCATCATCCTCCGAGAATTCTTCCCACCGTCCTTATTGCCAATTTACAAACGATTTCTGCCACAGATTCTACAATCTCGAGTTTCGAGGACACGTTTCGTTTGCAATTTCGCAACGGCTACAGAGAAAGCGTATACGTAGACAAACGTGATTGTATTCGTCGAGCGTAAGACACAATCAGCTCATTCATCGGACGCATCTTCTGCGTGCGTACACGCTCTCAGATATTAAATTTCCGCAGGGCGACGCGGGGGCGATGTTGGTCATTCGTTGATCGGTCGCGGTCGGTTTATCAGGCGCCAACTGCTCGCTGTGTCGATCCGCGAGAAACACTCTGTTAGCCCGAACGTGAGAGCGTTTATTATTTCATGAGTCGGGCATGTATCGCGTGCACGGCGCAATTCGCCAGTCGATTACGCGCTAAGCGGGAATAGAATCGACCATGGATTTCGGAAGTGTTAACTGCACGTCGACAACGCGATAATTCCTATCGCGACGGATGATACCACTTCTAATCCAGCTGAATCAGAATCTCTGACAGTGAGTCTACAGAAATCAATGTTCGCCGTATCGTAATCGATGTATAACTCAGTGTTCGTCGTTTAACGTGGATCACGGAGCAAATTGTTACTCCGTTAGCTTGGCACGCGATCTATCGATCTCTCAGACTGGAAATCGGAACACGATTTTACCCCTGGTCAAACGAGTGTTGCTGAAACACTTTGCTCACCAGTAAAATTCTTTGAAAGAATGTCAAGCCCGATTTGCATTTGGGTCGAGATTGTTTAATCTACGTCGTCGTAAGTCGATCCGTTTCATAAATAATTCTTATCATCGTGCGCAATCGTATCTTAATGTAACTGAGACGTTACACCACGTAGATCACAATTATGTTGGCTCGGATAATCGGGACGGATTTATTTCTCTCAACTGGCGCGTGTCTCGCGTAAAGGGTTAATCGTTAATACCTCTTTCAATCACACGATTCCGTAATTACCCAGGTAATGGCCGGCGATTTAATTGAATCCGTGCTAATTAACGACGAGCCAATAATTACAAGGATAACTCGCCTAGCTTCGTGATCGTGTTACGGCCGAGTAATTTCTTCGTGAGCGTTATGGAAAATTATTTACTAGAAACGAACTGGTCGGATGATTCTGAATTCTCTCGAAAGCTCTTAAGAGTGGAAGCGTTCTTATCAGAGTTTGTGTACCGAACTCTTAACAGTATCGATCAACACGATTCATTTCCTGCCGCTCCTTTTCCAAGATTTTCATTTATAATAATTACGTATTCTCTACCAAGTACGTTGACTCCGCTCTCGCGAACGCATGCACTTTATTCGAAACTCCCCAGTGTTTCGTTCGAACTGTATCCGATTTCGATTTAGCAACACACACATGGCTCAGGGTGCCGGAGTCCCCTCTCGCGATTTCAGCAGCGGCAGCCCGCAATTTGCCGTAATTATTATGTTTATCTTTCTCATTCACTTAAGCAGATACCGCGGAGGTCGATTTTTACCGGGACGATTTCGTCGTACCTGCGAAAGCTGACGCGTGGCGTGCCCGACCATTTACGTCCGAGGGGCGTTACGGACAATCCACTTTGTCAAACTCGATTTGCGTGATTCCCTTCGACCTGTTCGGCAATTAGCCTGAAAATTACCGTACGTCAGATTACCAGTGTATCATCTGTATTATCGCGGAGGAATAGAAAAAGTAATTTTCCTTTGCATCGTTTCATATCGATTTTGTATCAGAGGAATTTTTGTCGATCTTCCGTTTTTATATAACGACTGCATGTTTTTCGCGAACGATTTCCAGGTGTTCAATCTCTAGTCGCGTTTGAAAGAATTTCGCGAGACCGGATGACTGGGTCATTACGTCTTTGAAACGCTATGATCCACTTTGTCAAACTCAATTTGCTGGTCAGAACGCGACACAGAGTGCTGTCGACTCTCGACGATTCGCGGTCCGAGCTAATCGACCGTTGTACGCTTGGCAAAATGTTGACCAGAACTGTATTTGAATATCATTGGTCATTGGCTTTGTGCCAAAAGGGATCGTGAATACGTTTCGCCGAGGAGTTAGCTTGCACGGGTCGTTCTGTGTGCCGGAGGTCCGTGGAAAAGTGTAAAGAGCAGCGTGCACAGTAAGGACGGAAACAGACGAGAGAGAGAGAGAGGGAGAGAGAGAAAGAGGGATGGAAGAAATGAGAAAGAGGAAGAAGGTAAAAGAGACTGGCGTGGGGTTCAAGGAGTAAGTAGAAGAAGAAGAAGAAGTTAAGATGGTCCAGCGCGCGCAGCATCAGCCGGAGGTGATGACCTGCTCAAGGCCACCCGCTCCCAACCTCTTAGACCGGAGAAGAGAACCACTCTTCTTATTTTTCGTTGCTCCCTTTCCACCTCCCTCTTTCCTTCCTCTTGCTCGCTCCCTTTCCTGACCTGCCTGTCCTCTTCCTGTTTGCACCGCTTCTGAACTAGCTCCCACTCTCTCTCTCTCGCTCTCTCGTTGGTACGCGCGGAACCCTTAATGTCAACTTCCCGCCGGCCCTTTCGTCGACTCATTCGATCACCACTGAAATATCGTCTCAATCATTGCAGTAAGCTCCTGCAATTTCAGGCCCAAGAACTTCGTGCAAATTAAATATCAAATATACAATTGCAAATTTCAGCAAACACTTTTACATTGTGTGTGATAATAATTGCGAGAAAAACGGAATTTGAACAGTCGATTAGACGTAGAGTACACCTCAGCGGTTACGAGGGTTTACGATGCACCGCAAGAGCTCGTAAGGCAGCTGATATCGCTCGCGTTAATCTGCTTGCGCCGCAAAAGTATTTATCCGGTTAAGGAATGCGAAAACTCTGCCGTCTCGGAGTCTCGTTACGCCTTCGCTAATTCGATCAACCATTTCCCTCTCTGGGCACTTCGGAGTCTCAATTTCTGTCTACGAAGTCAACTTCTATCGAATCATTTGTTCCATTGCAGACGTATAAATTCCGACATCATAAGGACGCGTGTTCGATGAACGATTTGCAAATGAACAGGCGTCGTGTTCGCCACGTTCGATTACAGGATTCTGATCGAGGAACCTTCTCGTTAATTGCAACATCGTAGGTCATCAGCAGGAACTCGTAATTTACCGAATCTATTTGCAATATCGATTCGCAAATTATAGCGATCGAATTCACTTTCCATTCTCTGACTCTATAAACAAGAGCATGCCGAGATTAATTAATAGCGATGGGGTTCAAAGGTTTATTAGCCGGTGGACGTGCTCCTCGCCTCGAGATACGGATCTCTGCAGCATTCATTAAGCGATCAAGGTCGCGTGGAACAAGGGTCCCACTCGATCAGCCTTAAACTACGTGCACTTCTTTCATTTATTTTCTATACGCGTTACAGTATAAAAATCGCCTTCATCTCGTTGGCACGGGATATTTGATTTTTGCATGAAACACGTGATGCGTAAAATACGGAAACGCTGGAGAAAAGCTTGATCTCTGTTAACTCCGTACACGGGCTAGCGGACGCGCGTGTCCTATCCCGTGTATCTGATGTTTAATAAACGACGGGTCAACTGGAGTCAACCGTGCAGCTGTGTCCACCGAGCCATTACCTCGATTCATTATCACTACTCCCCGTTTGTGTACGCTCGCTAAATTTTTCTTAATTGAAACGTCATCTACAATATACCCGAAGAGCGGCCGTCGTAAATCGTCGGAAAACTAGTGGAAACTCCGTTAGATTCACTATCAGCCCTCTGTTTGCCTGCAATTTTTCTTAATTGAAACGTCGTTCACGATACGAGGCTAGAAAAGAGTGTGGAGACTTCGTACGCAAGTCGAGTGTCTCTCGAACCGTTACCGACACTCATTATCGTGCCACGCTTCATTTCTTTTTACTCAATAATCGTTTAAGATATCGTAGAAATTCTAGTGCGATAATGCTGGTCTGTAGTCTACAGTCTGTTGCTTTTGTTGCTTGCAGCGCGGAATGACGAGGTAGAGAACGAGAATCGAACCACACGCTTCGCCGAGGCTGTCGCTGAAAATCCTCAAGCAGGTAAGCAGCTGCATACATTGACTTCTTGACAAAAAGTTTCTTAACGATATAGTGGCATTAGATATTGAATAAAAATAAAATAGATGAACAGTTTTATACATTCTATTGCAATTAATGTGCTTCATGCGTCTGTTATTTTATTACGTATTTATGAACGACGAACAATTTATTGCTTATTCAGTTTCAAAGGCATTCTGTTCCGCGAAACGATTTCAACGGAACAAAGAGTGAATTTTTCGAAAAGCGTGACCGCGGTAGAGCCTCTCGGTCGCCGTCCTTCGCCCGGTGAAAGTCCACAAAGAATTCGCCCTCGATCGTGCCTCCGCGAACTTCACATTGAGAGATACGCCGTGACGTGTCACGAACTCGTTCGGCGACCGGTAATGAACGTCTCTCGTGTGTTCCCGAGACGAAATCGAGCAACGGGGCCTGAACCCTGTATCTCTGATGTCCAGGTCACGATTCTCGTTCCACAAATATTCACCGTTCATTTATCCCCTGACTCAATTATAACGTGACTTCGCCTTCTTCAACGCGATTTTACTTTTATAATTAGTCATTGAGTAACTTTATCTACTATTACATTCGAGTGACATAAAGAAAAACAGCTGATAACTTTGATGTAATAAAAGATAAAGAAACAGCATATGCCATTTTATATCTGATGTCATCGGGTCAGATAAAATGTTAGACAATCACTGGAAATAGACGTATCGAAATCAATAACGTAGATTGGAAGTAAAAATCGTGAGGAAGGATTCCCGAGAAGACGACTCGAGATCCTCGGGTTCCACGTACGTCGAAAGAAACTAGGAAGCGGCGTGCACCGTATACGTGGCATCGATCTCGGTAAAAAGCACCAGCAATCGAAGCTCGTATCGATACCGAGACACGTAAGTCCTCGCATTTATCCACGAATCTATTATTTGCTTTGACCAGCGTTCCAGCAATCTCGTTGATAAGAAAAACAAAACACTAATTGGATAAGAATTCCGAAGGTGTGAGCAGCTCCCACGGGCGACTAAGCCCTCTTGTCACATCCTCGAGCACGTACTCGACGAGAGTCAATTACTCAAACGTTTCCGCATTCTGAGATCTCTTATGCTCGCCATTATTCAAATTGATCGACTCGCGCGTTCCTTTTTAAACTGGTCCAGTTTCATTGACGCTCGTTCGTCAAGTAGAACGAGAAACGAAATGCACCGCCAGTTTCATTGATGCTGAGCGCAATACGAAATGAAACGTACCGAGGCTATGCTCGAAAGGAAACGGAAATTGAACGTGACAAATGGCTGTTGACTCGAAAGGGTCGAGAGTAACGCGATACCCCGGGTTCGTGTTTTAAAAGGATTTCTTCTCCCCGACGCGTACACCCGCGTGCCTCGTCGTAAAACAAAAGAAGTCTGGACCCTGTTCGGTTCGTGATGTAACGCGTGAATCAGCGTGCGAGATCATGGCAAAAAGCAATAACGCAATGAGACTCACAGAAACTCACTGTTTACACTTTCTATGAATCATCGATAAATTGATCGATATAATAGTTTTTACGATATTTATCAAACGCGAATTTGATTGGAATCGAAGAAAGACTCGCTGGTCGCACATCGCATTGGCGTAACAGGTGTCCCAGCACGTATCCTTAAGGTTGAGCCAAGCGACGAGAGAGGAGGAATTGCGTGCAGGTAATTTCTAGGAATAATCTCCCGTTGGAGGTTCTTGCTCGATCGTTGATCGATTTGAAGCCGATCCCCGGGCTGTTTCGAGCGGTAGCATTTTCCCATTAGATGCACGGTTTCTTTCAATTAAAATCACGCTCGATAACCGCTATAAATAGCGGACAGTTAGCGAGTTAACAGGCGAAACATAAGTACCCAGGCGTACTTCTCGAGGTCGCGGATATCTGCAACGTGATATTAACCCTTCAGCGCGTGGTTCGGCGTACGTATTACGTTGCGTCGTGTCCCAGTTTCGAAGCATCCGGAGGAGACGATTTTCTGACGCTGGATACAAATTGATAGATAACGACGAGTGGAGAACGTGTAATTAAGGACAGAAGACTGTCTGTGGTTGATCACAGGAAAGTTTGTCATTTGAAATTTCGTCTTAACGATCCACGATGCGTATCAAATTAATCATCGGTAGGCATGCAGGGAGCTATAACGATCGACACTCCACTTATTGACGCTTTATTGCTTTTACGAGTGAAAAGATTACTATCGTGGTAACTGAAAGATCGATTTGTGGACGACAATGCGCGGGTCAATAAAATGAGAAGTCGTTCCGCCGCGATTCACGGTAACAAAGAGACTTCATTGGGAGATAAAAAATAACAATTAATATAATCTGCGTACAAGGTTCGACACTTTCGAGCTACACGATTCAGATCTCTGATCGCCAAGGTCTCCTCCAACCGTTGCTAAAGGAAAGTTACGAGTTTGAAACCAGCGAGCTCAATCACGTAATTTATGATTGCGATTAACTGCTTTTAAGTGCGTCAGACAAGGTGTATTATATTAAAACGACGTTAAATCCTTAAATCTTATGCTCGCCTCTCTAGACATTTTTATCGATACATGAAAATACTGTTCCCAGAAAAAATTTTTATAGCGTCTTTCATCATATTCTGTGTACCTATTATTATCAAAGAATTATCAGAGCCAAGTCTAAATTCTCCAGCAGTTCTCAGGCTGAGAGAGGAAAATTTAAATCCCAAAAATTTATGTACT